CACAATTGAGTAATTATCTAAAGTTTAACCATTTCAATGACATTGATGAATGAGTTGAGCCAACCTCCCTGTTGCTCTCATACCTCTCCTGCCAGTGCTTTCCATCGACTCCATGCATAATATATAAGTACAGACCATAACTTAAAAATAATAATAATAGTAATAAGAGGTACGAAGATATTGCCAAAAGAATTATTTGAAAAACTTAGAAATTTGTGAATAAGTTTTGTGTTTAGTATTACTTTATATAGAGTTTAGAGTTTATATCATATATAGAGGCAGAGCTTAACTCAAACATTGCGTTTCGGTTTACACAACACAACTGTGGATATGAATCCATGATTACTCGCCTCAAGCCATCAATTTGTTTGGATGAGTCGGATGAGGACATGTATGTGAGATGGGAGCTGATAGTGGAGCGCATCGCCATCAATGTCACTGATTGCCATCAAATGGCAATTAAAAGCATTGATAGGACACAAGTCTCAACTTTGGACACATTAAATATTCAACTATCAAATGATACTAACGTTGCGTTTCACCACATATTCACTCACTTTGCAAACCATTCAAACACCAGATGTGTGTCCGTCGGCCCTCCAAACAATACATTCATTGCTGTTGTGCTCAACATTTCAATGCTATTCTGTCCTCTAATTCATGCTTTCATTTCATTATTTTATGAAACACTTCCTCTCAATAGATAATTATTGAATGTTTTTACCATTTCTATTTTCCTTATATTTCCAAATATATTCATATAACATTAAATTCAAAGCAAACAATTCTTGTGTAGTCTATCAAAAGAATAGCCAATTTTGAGTGTCATTACATTATTAGCCAATTGTTATCAAACCATTTACCAAAGGTGTTGATTTATTAACTATATATAAACCATGTCTTTTACACCAAAACAGTCTCAATCCTTGCGAGTAATGATTCGTAAAGTTTATAATAAATTATCATAAATACCTAAAAGACAGTGTTTAAAAATGCTTTCTAATGCATTTGGATTATTTACTACAAAAATGTAAATACAGTACAGCGCTTGTAGTTTAAAAGTCATAATTCATAAACTTTATCAAATGAATCTTAATGTTATGTTTAATTAACGCTTTTCTAATTAAAGCATACATTTACATTTCTTTCAAACAATTAATATAAATTGTCTTTTAAATAATGATTTTGACTTATTTGTCAATGAATGCAAGCTTATTATGTACATTATTAATTGAACATTAAATAAAAACTATTGTAACAATTGAAAAACATCTCTAAGTAGTTATACTATTTGTCTATATAAGATAGTTGTTAATTCTTAAAATTTAATTAGATTTAAATTCTTAAAATTCAAATACTGTATTTTCAACCTCGATATGTAATCTAATTATTCGCAATTTTATTTTTAACATTTCTTTATATTTAACCAAACTTTAGTTTCTATCATCGCAAGTGTACTTTTTGAATATTCTCATTATATACTGATAATAAAATCTTAAAATACTGTAAATTCTTGGCTATATTTATAACTTTAAACAAATGAAAGAACTGCATTGAACTCACTTTAATGACTTTATTCTTGTAAATAAAAAGTCAATATTTAAGACACGTTAATAAAATACAAACAAACCGTTAGTTTTAAACAACGGCCCGACTTTACGTTAGAATTTTTAGATTTATTTACACAGAATATAATATTACTGTATTTTAGTACAATATACAATATACTGCAGATTTATGACAAACACTGTAAAACAAACACGAGATTTCTATAATAAATATTGAGTTTATTAAAATATTATTATTTGGTCATTAGAATTTTGAAATGAAAATTAATTGAAATAAGATTGAGAATTGAATACAAAAGTATGATTGAAGTGAAAACTTGATTCAGTGTGTGATCACTGATCAGTAATCAGTGATGATTTACTTATTTAATGGTTGAACACATGCAGACACAATACATGTATGATAGACTGTTTGGTGCGGCACTCAATTGATTTGAAAGTAAGTTCAATATCATTGACAACATTAGCTGCGTTTGAATGGGAGATGGGGTTGAGATGGGGTTGAGATGGGGTTGAGATGGGGTTGAATGAGCTTATAATGCAGTGACACTTCACCCAATAAAGGATACAAAGTATTAGCTTAAATGCAATACAATGCAAATGATTTATTCTTTGTATAATATATAGGATTAAGAAATAAATGAAAAGTTTATTAGAGAATAGGATTAGTTGGTCAGCCATAGGGTTGGGTGCATTGGAATGTGTTTTCAATTACAATACTGTATCAGTAATTGTGTGTATATGTGATAGAAATATTGAAACCAATTGATATGCATTGAAATAGAGAATTAATTGAATGTTTCACAACACCTACTGTTTTCAAATTAGACGCCTATTAATCATTAATATGATTAAGAATAGTGATTCAGTGTTTAATATATTCTTGGAAGTGTGTGCTCGGAGTGGTGTCTGTGCTCTACTAGTGGTCTTTAAGCATTGGGGGGTAGGTCTCAATCAAGAGCCTCAATGACAAATGCAGTTGTGGTTAATCATTGCGTTCACCTCCGCTCCGTTACAATCATTTATTATTTTCTTTTTTGCTTAATTGCTTTTTGAGTGGTATTCGCATCTATTCTCGTATCACAGCTATCGGTGCTATCAGTGCTCTATAGTTAAAGATTTGCTCCATTGCTCTATTGCTTCCTTTTTGCACGTAATTCCCAACTCCAGTGCCCAGAACTCCACATATAATAAACGAGATTATGATAAATGGTATCAAACACTAACACTGACGCAATCCAATCGATACACATCTCTCTATCGTTTTCAGCTCTTCTTGAACATTAATAACAAATTTTTTGAAAAAAACGTTTACTTTTCAGAATTAACTACTCGTCTCTCGTCTACATATTGACTAAAATATGATAAAACAAAGTATTTTGAATCGTTTACTGCAAACATCAAGTGGGGGACAATTCTATTGTTAAAAAGGGGACAATATTTAGAAATAGTGTGGAGTAGTAGTAGTACTGATGCCTAGGAGAGAGTGAAGTGAAGCCAAAAAGACTACAATTGTGTAGAGCTTTAGGACAGCAAAAAAAGTTTGCTCGAGAGTTACTTTGATAAATGACATGACTGTGCCTTCATATGAATATACAGTGGAGAGTCGGGCTGTGCTCTATGGCTATGTTACATTAGCCTATGTACTCTATATGTATGCTACACCTAACCGATAGCGCAGAGAGAGAGAGAGAAGAGAGAGAGAGAGAGAATAGGATTGAAAGCCTGAGAGAGAGAGAGAGAGAGAGAGAGAGAGAGAGAGTTGGTTGCAAAAATGGAAATGATGAATGACCAGTCCTTTTCAGCAATGGTTTAATGGACGTAAACAAAGGCAATACAATGTTGTAATACTGTATGCTTTTGCCAAATATAAATACATTGAGAGCACAACCAATTTGTGGCTTTTATTATGATTTTCTGATACTTTATGAGCAATAAATCTCTGCCGAAGACTAACTTTGACTTACAATCCAAAAGCTTTTGTAAAAAACCTTTTGTTGAATCATTGCCTGCAATGCAACGAATACTGCATTTCTTGACTAATCTTTAAGCCAGACTTCAGTGCATTCGGGTTAGGCTTTCAATCCTATTCTCTCTGCTCTGTCTCTTCTCTCAAGTCTGCAGTTTTGGTAGTTTTGGTAGCGATAGCCCACAGCCAGTCACTCAGTCTCCCATCACAGGCCCTTTCCTCTACTACACGACTATTCAGAAAACTATACTCTCGTATAAGCCTTACTGAGACTCGGCTTTACAGTTGCCGTCATATTATTTCCGTCACAAACTTTGGTCAGAATGTGATTAGAGGTTCTGTCAAACTGTGATTAATATCGTGCGGCGCGAACCATAGCCAGCCATACCAGCCCTCACTGCTCTCTCACAATATATTCATATAACTATCCTCTATGTGCTCCCTGTCCTCCCTGTGCTCTATCTTTGGTATTCTATCAGTGCTCTTGTGCTCAAACACTGGATGTGTTGTATTCATTGAGAATATTATTTGCCATTAATTTAGAGCACAAAATGTTTTTATAAAAAGCATACAACCATTTACAGAGTAAATAAAAAATAGATAGTTCGTTAAGAATTAAATTATAATTTATTATTTGAGTGCTATTTTACATTTTGATATATATTTAATCATAAAATTCCAGTTTTAGACCTCATATCAACTTTAAGTTACAATTTTATCAATTATTTTAAAAGGGTTTCCATTTTGACTCAATTTGAAGGGTAGAAAAATACATCAAAATTCCATTTAAATGATTTCATAACAATTAGTATTATATTAGAGTACATCTAATTTAGGGAACTTTTGTGTAAACGCTTTGCATTTAAAGTCAGCTTTACATCAATTGTATTATTTAAGGCTAACATAAAGCAAAGCGTTTTAATTAAGGCCAAAATTTTCAATTGTAATGAAAATTTAATGTGTATTACATTATATAACTTATTACATGATATCCCTGTATATTGTATGGGCGTAACAATTAGGCTTATATTTGGAAAGTCAATAAATATGTGCTATTATATCATTAATTAATATAAGACCTGTTGCCCAGTGGTGTCGAGACTTAGTCTTTATAATTCGGATTGAGTTTCAATTGGGATGAAAGCCTAATGCGAGTCATCATTAAAAATATGGTCATAATTATGGCACATAAAAATTAACTTAATTAACGCGAGCTTAATATCAATGTTTAGCACGATTTGATAAAATTGAGAATATATTCTAACACTTTGTTTGTGAGTGAAAACTCATCAAAAAAATTATACTTTTGTTTAGTTCTATGAAAAGGAGTCCTAAACCCCAATCACTTAATAATATATACATTGATTGTAAAAGAGTATAATTGATAATTATTTCCTACAAAACAAAATCTGAGTATTATTTCTAAACTTATAGAGTAATAGATATTTATATAATACATAATTCGGTTTTTGTCACTCAAATCATTAGAAGTACACAAAAGGGTTGGCTTTAGAGAGCTTACTGTGCGGCTGAAGAGCCATCACTTAATTTGGGAGAAGTTGGCGATAGAGAGGCGCCGTTGGATGAGTCCGAGTGTGTGGCCGTCACCGATGAGTTGCTTTGTGTAGTTCCTGATGGCGGAGGTGTCGATGTGTCCGACGGTATTAATCCTTCTTTCATTCGCTTCTTTTGCTTCATTCGCCGGTTTTGAAACCATATCTAAACGCAAAGTAAGGCAAAGACATAATAGTAATGATTGAATGGTGGTGGAAGTGGTAGAAGTGGTGGAAAGTAAGGCAAAGACATAGTAGTACTGATAGAAGTGGTTTCATGGACTGGGTGACATACCTTGACCTGGGTCTCATTGAGTTGGAGGGCAGTGGCGATCTCGATTCTTCGGGCGCGAGTCAGGTATTTGTTGAAATGGAACTCCTTCTCGAGTTCCGTGAGCTGTTTGGTGGTGAAGTTGGTTCTGCCGGTGTTGTTGGCCGCGAGACCAGCTGCCAGAGAGGCAGATGAGGCACAGTTAGAGACGGCAACCGCTGATTGAGGCGCTCCATTGAAACTGAATTCCGGCGCTTTGTTTACTGAGAATCCAGAAAATGAGAAACTCTTAGACTCTTAGGCTATAAACAAATGTTTATTCTATTGAATTACAAAACATATATTGTGTTCAAATAAAAAACTAAATTTTAGCCGCTTTTACACAAATAGAGTTCATATCATTTACAGCATTTACAACCACTGGTGCTCTTAGACTGTGTTTACCTTTTCTCACATCTCTTTCTTAAATAAATAGCTATCGGTGCGATCGGTGCGACCCTCTCAACCCCTCAACGGTTAACAGTTATAAGAGTTAAGGCTTTTCTCAGTTAATGCTTTTGTTATTAATCGTGAAGAAAACAATTAATCAAATGTCCACTACTTGTGCTCCACTGCTCTCACACACACTATCGCTGCTGTAATTCAACCACAATTGCACTCTTGGCTCACATCTTCATTCAGACAAATGTATGTCTTAACCGAACCTAACGTTCCCTAAAATACTTTCATGAAATCACTGAAACTAATGATCAGTGAATAGCGAATCGATGTATAAATTGTTGTTTTTGTATGAAAAATTGAAATTTACTTTTGACTTGAAAGTGAATGTCATATATACATACATACATACATAGAGAGAGAGAGAGAGAGAGAGAGAGAGAGAGAGAGAGCGTTTTAAAGAATAGATTGATGTTAAAATCAATAGATTGTGAGCATCTGTTTGTTGTGTTAGTGCAACACCTGTTGACTTCTTAAACTGATCGCTAATTTAATTCAGATTTGTTGATAGTTCAAATGCAAACAATTAATTACATTTTAAGTGCCATTTGTTTGAAATAATTTGAGAGAAATGTGTTATTAATAAAGCATTTCTACAATTCCTAAGAAATATATGAGAAGTTCAGTAATTTTACGAATGGTATGATTCTAATAATTACATTAGAAGTATGGCTCAAATTTCTCGCCTTTTAATTGATTTATTAGTCTTTGAAAGAGGAGTCGGTTTGAAGTCTTTGACAAAATTATCCTCAAATCTGTAGTCAATTGAATTGAAACCGAATTTGTGAATACACTATAGTCTGGCATAGAATTTATGGTTTATTTTCAGAGAATATTGTCCACCAGTGCCCTAATGTGTCAGTGAAAGGCCTTTCGCACAATTTATAGCTTTGAGAGTCGGGTGCGCGGCGTTCACTGTATTATAGCATCACTACTACCGTCATTGCATTCTTGAGTATGATTTATGACATAATAAATGCAATTCTCTCTCAGTTTTGCTTTACTTTCTTCTCTCTCTACTCATTTACACTAATAAAGTGCATCAAAACTACTTTCATATAATATCTCATACTTTCAATTGCATTGCATTTCTAATATTCATATAAATCATATAACTATGAAAATTTGATCTCAAATTAATCCCAAAATTAAATCACAACTCACTGTTAGGTTTGGGTATATTTCGTTTCACTTGCATCCACTTGTACTGAGGCACCGGTGCCGCCGCTATCACTGAATTGGTTTGCGACTGCCGGGTAGTACCAGAATGGTGGTGATGATGGGGATGGTGTGGCGAGTGGTGCAGATGTGATGCCAAATGGTTGAGATGGTAAGCTGTGCCGTTCAACTGACCGCATGTCATGTCCGCAAATGGCTGAGCGTCACTATAATGTCCCGAATGGATACTCGTCTGGTGTCCAGAACTACCGTTCCGTCGAGTCAACAAACTTGTGTCCAAATAGGTTGGGTATTGCGGTGTTGTCGTTGGGGCGCCTGAAATGCCAGTCCTAACGGCACAGTCTGACAGTGCAGACAACATATCCTGATGACCACCCGATAGCTGGCCGCCATCGCTGTGCGGAAAATCCCTGTATTGATGAGAATAGCTTTGATGTGATGGTGTGACTGATAGTTGTGGCGGGCCTTGAGCTACAGGTGGGCCTAATGGGGGTCCTTGTGCTACGATAGAGCCCGTACGGGCATCACTATAATGACTAAGTCTTTGATGATGTGGTGGGACTGGATTAGTGGCATAATTGGGTTGAGACAACTGGGTGTCCAGATTAGTATAACTCAATCCATTGGTTTCGTTGATAATTCCGTCGCCGAACTGATGCACCGGTGCTGACATGTGAAGAGTGGACGCATAATGGCTAGCAGTCGGTGTGGCTCCGGGTATGATACCAGTGCTGGACGAGGCGGACAATTCGTTGGAAGCCTGATAGTAAGCCAGGTCTGGATGGTTGTGGTGGTAGTTCTGGTAATCACTGGTTGCGGAGCCGTTATGACAAACACTCGCTCCGTAAACAACATTAGAGTTCATAATCATTGAAGAGTTGAAGAGTTGATTCAAATTACATATCAATACAAGAAAACACAACCAAATGAGTGCATCAAGAGTTTAGTCATTGATTGTAAAACTTTAGAAAATTTAATAGTTTTCATAATTGTCTGCCAATCAAATGGATTCACAATTACGTGAACTTAAGACATGATAGCGTTGTCTATACTTTAGTTGTGGTGATTGTGACGATAGCGGCGCTCGCATTGGATTAGCTTTGGTTAATGGATGGAACCGGGAGTTGGGATCAGGGAATAGGACTCAACTATTATGGGTGTCGTTGAAAGACTCGCATACGTCAGAGAGTGGCGACCAATGCTCGAGTGCCCATCTCATGAGCGGCCCAACTCATGGTGCTCTAGGTTATGATGGTTAGGATGGTTAGGATGGTTATGATGGCAATGCTTACAATGCTTATACAGCTCTGAGTTCGCGTTTCGATCACTTCCACATCCAACCGATCCCTACACAGGATCTCAACAAACGTGTGTCACTCACGGCTGAAACCACTCTAACCACTCGCACAACCAATCCGTTGATTATCATAATAATCACTATAAGGTATGTCTTATAACCAGTTCACTACCTCTCATCTGTTGGTTAATTGTTGCAACTCTTGTCCAGATTTAATGTATTAATGTATTCAATGTATTCTCCAATTTATGTTTTTTATATAACTTTCACGTTCTCTCTGTTCTCAGTCTTACGAGAGACTTAACGAAACATTTAATGTTCACAACTCTCTATGCATTTACTCTAGTCTTTCAGTCTTTTCAGTCTTTCTGTTGCTTTAGATCACTGGTTACGCCCAGAGTATGCGTCTATGCGCTAACACATCACCTCTCTCTCTCTCTCTCTCTCTCTCTCCACAATTTGGTTGTGCACTGAATTCACTGAATTACTGAATTTTCCATTCTATCTGGCATTATATGAATTATAGCCAATACTAAAGTAATAATAATAATAACTAAAAAGAGCTAAAGAGTGACAATATATCGGTTTGAAAGCATAGAGAGAATGTGTGAGTCGTAAGCAACCCGTGGTTTTGATATTTATTTGAATCATTATTGGTTTATTTAATAGGAAACACTTTTTTAATTTACAAAATCATTAAATGTGCAAAAAGTAACAATTTGGGCGATTGTGTGCTAATCTTTTATTAATTATCATCACTTAAAACATAAGTAATGTTTGTGTTGTTGTCTTTAGAGTCCGAGTTATGAGAAGTACATCATTAGAGTTGCGGTAAAACTACACAAACATTTAAGTAATGCTCTTTCAGGTGCTAAATGTTTATCAGTGTTCCCACGCTATCAGTGCTAACATATGTCTCATATCGTATTCCCAAATGAATATTTAAGTCCACTTTTGAGACTTAAAGATATGATATTAGTTTAAGAGGAGGTAATCGCAGTTTAGAGCGCTTATTGCTTTGGTTTTACCTGCTTTTCCTATTGATCCCTCCTTTTGATTCATTTGATTTTGTCTCAAACATGTCCTTCATATACACCATTGCAATGCAATCATCTCTTAATGTTATACACATTCAGATCTATACACTATTCGCAACCGGTTTTCCACTTTTCCCTCACTTTCCGCCAATGATTGACATCGCAATGACTTAACATACAATACAATATTTTATGTTCATGTTAAGACTATCACAGTATATCAAACCATTGCTTTGTATTCATACAGCCCTGTGTATAATATGAATTCTCATTACATTACATTCCTTACTTTTACTCAAGACATTTTATTTCATAAAATAACAAAAATAAATGCATTGTTTTCACATTATAACTAACATCAGGGGTTTGCCATTCATTTCCTGTTCTCCACAAACATCACTATTGAGACCTTTTTGCTACAGAGAACTAACTCGTGAGCCATTGCACAGACATCTGTCCGTTCCTTAACTTCCAAACTATTGTTCACTTCATATAACCGACTCATTCTCCATCCTATCATATGTTTTATTTATTACACACTATGTTATCAATATTTACCATTTCTTACTCTACTTCTTAATAATTTATAGCAAATATTTTTATTTACTATTTATATACTGTATTCATATCGGACATTATTGAACTGCATTACTTTTTCATATAAATTATAATACAGACCATTTTTAACTTTTATCTAATTTGATAATTAATATTTTTATTTACACAAATTACAGTAATTGTATTCTTATGTTTACTTCTATACAAATATAATTTACATAACATTATAATTTTTAATAAGATTTTCATCAAATATTCGTACCAATAACATTTTTGACATATGCAGAATATGTTGAATTGTTTTCCGAAAATATTTTTTTGTGATAAATTAAAAACACTTTAAAATCAATATACAATAATAATATAAATTACACTTTATTTTAAAACTATCTTCAATAATATAAACTTTATATTATGTTATAAAGTAATATAAACTCCCAGCAAATACTGTATATACTTAAGTCAGTAGATATATTTTAAATTTTATATTGAAATATTAATTTACAGAAAATCTAAAAATAAATTTAATAGTCATTTAAATAAATAAAACACATATTTTAAAATTAATTTTAATTTATAAATGAAATAGAATAAATGCATAATTAAATTTAAAATTTCTTTTATTACTTTATTTGTTTTATTATTTGTTTTAAATTTAAAATTTAATTCTAATAATTTGATTTTATATAAGTAACAAAAATAATATACAGTAATATTATACACACCTATATTATATACACGACCTAATCTTTTAAACAATATTTAAATTGTGTTTTTAGTTATTAAAATATTATTAGTTTTGTGGCACTTTTATAAATTATTATCAGTATAATTGTATAAAGCAACCAATTGGAGTACAATAGTAGAGTCTATGACTATAAGAAATATAAATTACATAAATGTTTAATTCTATTAATATATAACGAGATATTGTTGTAGTTTTTATAAGACTAACAAACAAAATATAGTTTATTTTATGAATTTACTGTTAGTGCAAGTTATTCATAATTTATATGTCAAACAGTTTGCTGAGAAATGTATTAGAAGTATGTGATTTAAATATTAAATAAGCATAATAATAATAATAATAATAACATGCTCATATTATTTTAATAAATGCATAATTAAATTTAAAATTTCTTTTATTACTTTATTTGTTTTATTATTTGTTTTAAATTTAAAATTTAATTCTAATAATTTGATTTTATATAAGTAACAAAAATAATATACAGTAATATATTAATACACGACCTAATCTTTTAAACAATATTTAAATTGTGTTTTTAGTTATTAAAATATTATTAGTTTTGTGGCACTTTTATAAATTATTATCAGTATAATTGTATACAGTAGAGTCTATGACTATAAGAAATATAAATTACATAAATGTTTAATTCTATTAATATATAACGAGATATTGTTGTAGTTTTTATAAGACTAACAAACAAAATATAGTTTATTTTATGAATGTACTGTTAGTGCAAGTTATTCATAATTTATATGTCAAACAGTTTGCTGAGAAATGTATTAGAAGTATGTGATTTAAATATTAAATAAGCATAATAATAATAATAATAATAACATGCTCATATTATTTNTATTTTATGAATTTACTGTTAGTGCAAGTTATTCATAATTTATATGTCAAACAGTTTGCTGAGAAATGTATTAGAAGTATGTGATTTAAATATTAAATAAGCATAATAATAATAATAATAATAACATGCTCATATTATTTTGAAATTAATTTAAAATCAAGAAATATAAGCACTAGTTCAATAATGTTACAATGCCATAGCCAGGTGTGCTGGTTTATTTTGATAAAAGTAGTGAATAATTGCAACGAATGACTAGACTTTAAACGTATGGATCGAAGAGAATAGCGTGTATTGGATGTTATGGCGAGTCTTGACTGTAGTTTCGTTGTGATAGTCATTCACTTTTGCGTGAGTTGTCACTTGACGGTGAGGTAACTAAGTATACTTTACTAACAGTGTTAACCTTCGTTTGTTTGACACAATGGTCTCGACGTGACAAACTTGTAATGTATGTTAGTTGACAAAGCGACATGTTATAAAGAAGAAAAAATTACTTTTCATTTATTTTCAACTTATATTTATACCTTATATAACTTTTGTCTTACCATTGCACACTCAATTATTCTGTTAATAATTTGAAATTTAATACTAATTAAAATTGTTAGAATACGAGAATAAATTGAAAATAAATGTGAGCAAGACAAACCAATAAGATTTATAAAGAACTATTGTATGAAATGATGAGAAAATGTCTAAACAATTGTTATGTTGTTTACAGTTCATAATTGCCACATAAACTGTAAGCACTCGTAACAAAATGTTTAAATATTCATTATTTATGAAGTAGTGAATCTCATCTTATATTTGAGTCTATAATTGAATTTCATTTAAAACAAAGAATTTTAGAGTCATTTGTCATTCATTTAGACTAAAATTCTTTAATTAAAGAAAACAAATGTTTTGGTTATGATATAAAGAGAAATAAAAGTTGGCATGTGAACTGCCACTCCATTGATTCATATGAAATGATTGTCACAATTGGAAGCAAACAAACTGTGTTACCAGAGCTGCACTGTTTGAACATTACATACAATCAACTGTTTCGCTGTACAATATTTCTTCGAAAAATTACTTTTCATTTATTTTCAACTTATATTTATACCTTATATAACTTTAGTCTAACCATTGCGCACCCAATTATTCTGTTAATAATTTGAAATTTAATACTAATTAAAATTGTTAGAATACGAGAATAAATTGAAAATAAATGTGAGCAAGACAAACCAATAAGATTTATAAAGAATTATTGTATGAAATGATGAGAAAATGTCTAAACAATTGTTTTGTTGTTTACAGTTCATAATTGCCACATAAACTGTAAGCACTCGTAACAAAATGTTTAAATATTCATTATTTATGAAGTAGTGAATCTCATCTTATATTTAAGTCTATAATTGAATTTCATTTAAAACAAAGAATTTTAGAGTCATTTGTCATTCATTTAGACTAAAATTCTTTAATTAAAGAAAACAAATGTTTTGGTTATGATATAAAGAGAAATAAAAGTTGGCATAAATTCTCCTTAAATTATAAAATCGAAACCAATATTTATTAT